GTTTAGCTGCCAGTTCTCAATTTGCTTTCGCTTAATCACTTCCGGGATGCAAGCAATGTCTATCAATCTCTGGTCTCCAGCATATCGGGGCATCATCTTCCTCGCGTTGTCATTCTCTCTTGTGGTTTGTTTCACGTTTTTCATGCCGACACCAGAAGACGCTAGTGCTCAATCTGGCCAACGATTCTTAAAGCAGATGGTGCCTTACGACCCTAACCAGAACGATGAGAGGGGTGGATTTCTACCTGAATGGTTTGTGGAATCTGCGACGAATGCCTTAGTCGATCTCCAAAATAAGTTCGCTTTAAACAAGTACAAACTTGCAACTCGCTTGATTGCCGAGAGCAAGATCAATCCTCTTGAAATCAATTTTTTTACGAGTGATAAACTCCTTGAAGTTGTAGACAAGATCACAAAGGCGTTCATAATCAAATCCAGATCACCCGAGGCAATTTTTTACGGACTCAGCCATGTGGCTGGCGATAAAGAGTATGGAATGCTCGCATCTCTAGCTCGAGGCCTCGGAGTATTCAAGGCAAGAGGTAAATACGAGATTCATGACGAGACCTACATAAACTCGGACATACAAAAAGGACTCGATTCAGAAGACGTGAAGGGTATGAATTATAATCGTCTGAGAGAAATCGTACTCAAGTTTGAGCCGTTTCTTCTCAGTTCGTGGAAACGATTGGGTGTAAGCGCAGAGCAAGCAGAAGAGATTTTAGAGGTGGACTTCAGCCGTCTTTATTTCTTGGAAAACCCGAACTTACCGTTGTACATCAAGTACCTTACCATGACACCCCGCTATGAACATCTTGGTCCATACGAAACTTTGCTTTTAGACATGAAGAAAAAGGGCCTGCGTGAAGATTGTTTTGGCGTTGCTGGATGGTGGTGCAATGACCGAACCCAATTCTATCCCACGAAAGTTATTGGATACCTTGTTTTTGGAATGGGATAATCAGCATGTTGGCTATACCCAGCTTTACCACATTATAGTACCGGATCTCGCCATCACGATGAAGAGTCTTGACATGTCAGTGTGGATCACTTATTTCGAGAGACTCTCTAAATCTGATCTCTATAAAGAGTTGGCTCGGGTGATTGTGACTTCCAAACTGGTTGAAAGTGACACTGGTCTCAAGCTAGTGACAGCTGAAAAGAGTGTAGACAACAACATGCCATCCATCCCTGAAAGAGACAAACAATTGGCGGACTTGCTTGCCTTGAAAGTGTTTGGAACTGACAGATCGTCTGTTACTCGGTCTAAGGAATTGTCCGTAGATGAGCAAAGGTATTCGAGAGCAGACAGCGAGCGACGAAAGTTATTTTTCGCAAGCCTCTTTAAAGGATTGCGCAGTCATTGGAGCAGTTGTCATATTCCTCTCGAGAACATCTTGCCTATTACAAAAACAGATAATTTGGAGCACGAGCAACTTATATCCAGTCCTCATCTCTGGACTTTTTTGGAGTACACGGCTGAGCATATTGAACCAACTGAAAAACGTGGAGATTCGATGTTCAACGTGTTGAAGATGAAATTGAGTGAAGAAGAGATTGCGAGTTTGCTCTCAGTGATGGCTGAAGAAGAAGAGAATATTTATCGTCCGCTGTCATTCAGTCTCTTTCGACACTGGAACTCCAATGGAGAGACCTTGAACTCTCTCACTACGACTCTTGGGTTGGAAAAAGATCCAATATCAAATCGTAAAATAATCGCCCTGTTCATGTACTACAAGCATTCTAGTCCATCCCACTTCGAGAATGTTTTGTTATTTCGCAAGTTTCTGGCGACGAAATATCCACCAGAAACCTTCGAGAAAGTGTTCAAAGACCAATTATATTCGGCAGAAGGCACTTACGAAAAAGCATTAGCTGAAGTGTTTTTTTCAGAGTGGTTGAATGAAGGATACTTAGTCAAAGATATCAAGTCTCGCCTACGTACCACTTCTGGAGATTTGAATGACAAGTACGAAAGTTGGATAGAAATTGCCAAAAAACACGAATATTTCCGGTCGAAACTTAAGGTCAGCGAAGAAGTTCCTTAAATGCTTGACTTAAAGCCTTCGATGGGCTCAGTTGCTCGCGCGGTGAATGAAAACTCTCCTCTGCTTAAGCTCAAAATTGATTAGTTAAAATGTCTAATAACTAACTAGAGGTCTTTTTCCAATTTCTTTTGACATTTGTTCGATTCGCATGTTAACAACACGATTGGGCGGAACCAACAAGATCCTTACCGAGTACCTCAAATGATTGCATTGAGGCTTGTGTTAAGAAGATGAAATGAGGAGTAGAAAGCAAGTTTGGAAGTAAATATATTTAAGTCCTTAGTTCGCCACTTTATGCTACCCTTAAGCCTTTCCTTGACGTCATTGGGCGTGATCATACAATATCGTCCCTGGTCCGAGAATTTGATCGCGCAACGTATGCTTTGTTCCGAACTTCTGACACTCCTCCTCGCGATCGTTCCTTGCCGCCATACCTAGCGTAAACCCACGAGTTCTCGCAGCTTAGCAAGCTTGTGCTGATCTAAAGCCTTAGTCATCATATCCGCGAGCATGAGTTCCGAGCGGATGTAGCACATTCTCGACGAGCCAGATCTTTAAATGTGTTTATATTTCATGGACGAAATCTCTCCCTATATAATGGGGTTACACGTACCTTTGTAAATTGTGCGACCGTACATAGTTGTGTATTACACAGTTAATGTAATCACACAGTGATGTGGCTACACCGTAACAAGAACACATGTACGAGTAGTAATGCATGTTATAGTATTGATTAGGTCTCGAAATATAAATTGGATATTACTATATCAATTAAGAAAACCTTGAAATTTTAGATATTGGCGGATCTACCGCAACCAAAACAATTAAATACAGTTTTTATTTTGAACAGAAGTTTTCGTTTGCCTTAGTTAGGCTTTAGTACTTTGAAGTAGCAGATCACGATCCGCTACACTTGCATTGGTTCTTGAAAAGAACGTAAGATCGACCTTGGCTCAGCTTCTTTTTAAGTGAAAAGCTAAGACAGCCTCGCTGCACCTTTGTTTCTGATGGATCGCAGCCTGGGCATCAGCATAGGCTGAGCCGGCGCGAGTCTCACCTCTTTTAGCATCTCTTTAATACCGTGGAGGTCGCGAACCGTCTCAGATGCTGCGACAAATTTTGGCTTCTGTAGTCGAGACTCCTCCCTATTTCTTGGCTGCCCAGCTCACATGCATCCCGTTTAGTATAGCGATGTCACCAGTGAGCAACATTCTGTCTCCCATGGCGGCAGCAAAGTTGTCATCACTGTAAGACTCAAGCGTCACTGATCCGTCGCAGTCGGCATTACCGTGCATTTCAAGCTGTATCAATTTGCTTCAACTGAAGTAGCACGTAATCCTCTTTGCCAATTCCCAGTCTCGTACACGCGGCGCATGTGTCTGTCGCGCGACTTTGTGACCCGCAAACACAATGTCTGGCCGCGTGCATCGCAGACTACCGACCAACGACTGAAACGAACGAATACTTGGCGACCCGAAGCCGGCGTTTTCCTGTGGCCGTAAAATCTCTGGTGTGGCTTCGTCGTAGCAGTCGTCACCTATAGGTGTCCGCCTAGGATTTGTCGATGCCATATCGTGCTCACGCAATACCTCGACAATAGCCTCCTCCCGATCGAGAGCATATGCGTGGGCGTCGCGTGTCGTCACTCTAGTACCGAGAAAATTCGACACTGATCCGAGATTCCTGACTGAAATTGAAATGAAGAAACGCTCGACCTCTGCGGCTCTTGTTGCTGTAACAAGGGGATCGTCGACGTAGACGCCAACCGCTGTCAAATCTTTTTCGTCGCGCTTGCAGTACAGACACATTGCACTAATATACTGCTTGAACCCAGCATCTGATAGTCTTGCGTG